TGTACATGATAATTTGGTTTACAGTCTTCACACGTGAATACAAACATGACACAGTATAACTTATTTGCTGTAAATGAAGTACATACATATCTATCGTAAATGCTTAAAATAAAATTATATACTCGTAGTTGACGTCTAGACAAGTTAATTGTGAAAATGTTTGAAATACGACTTGCATTGATATGGTTGGTTTGTGTTGAATATACTCGTTTGTATAACTAGCGAGTCATCCTCGCTCCGCTCGGGTTAGTCCCTAGGAACGTTTTAACGGTAAGTATAGATGAGATATTTTCTCGTAATAAAAAGTAGCCTATATTATGTTGACCCAGATAGCCAGCTATCATCATACCAAATTTCATCAAAACTTGTCTAGTAGTTTTCTCGTGATGAGTTCCCAGACAGACAGACGGACAGACAGACAGACAGACAGACAGACAGACAGACAGACAGACAGACAGACAGACAAAAATTCTAAAAACAAGAGATTCGGCCTCTGTATCGAAAATAATGACTATTTCAAAAAGATTTTCCACAAAAATATTTAATGTACAGATTCGACTCAGAATATTATTATATGTATAGATTTAACATTTATTATTATTTATTTATTTTATTTATTTATTATATTTTTATTTTTCTTACATTAATTTGCATAATGTGATGTTTTTGTTTTCTTTTCTTCATATGAAGATGATAATTTCATAAATACACTTGCACTTCTATACTATCTGTACACTTAATATTTTTTTTGTAAACACATTGATAGTTGGTATAAGTTTGCCATTATTAGTTTTAGCCTCATAACATTTATTTTACCTGATAAAATTATTACATACTATTTTTCCCGTATCTTTGTTTGATTGCCGTAGTTCCGTCGAAAAAAAATTACTTATTCAAATGATACATCTCAAGACTGATCTCTTTTAAGTTATACGTACGCTTTATTACCTCAATACTTTAGACCTAATTAAAACTAACCTGTGTATGTCCGAAACCTAAAAATTACTGACGGCAGTATTATTATTAACTAAGAATCAAACCCAACCCCTAAACATTCCATACCACCATAAAACAATTCTCTCACAAATCCATAACAACCATTGTATATAGAATCTTGTAAACAATTTAACTTTAAGTATAAAGCTTACAATTTCCAACCAAAACTCCAGTTTAAAGTTATTTTATGTCAGTTAAATCCGTTGTCATCAGTCATGAATGCCAATGCTACTATTCCTGAACAGTAATAACACTATCTAAACTGACAAATTAATCTAGTTAAGCAACTTCTCCTAGTACGATCTACTGTCATAAAGTAACTTCTGAGTATATTATATAGACTTATTAACTTGTTTTGTAACTATAACCAAGTGCCAAATGTTGACTACGTCATTGGGCTATGACTAATATGTCCATCTGAAGTACTGAGGTCCTGGGTTCTAGTCCGATTTTAGGTCAAATGTAATGTTTGAGTTTTTCTATATTATACTTTTATTACAACTCCGCGCCTTCAAAAGCTAAAAATCCATCATCCCTGCATGTGATCTCTCACCGGCTCAAAGTATCGTTCAATTTGACTTTAATGCAACAAATTTAGTGTTACAAACGCACAAACGTGTGGATATATAACAAGCACTTACCGCAAATATCCTTTTATCTCTGTACAAAGACCGACACGATCGGAATGGCCACAAGCGCTGTCAAACCTACACAAGGCAAAAATGCCTTCTCCACATGCTCGAATTTGTGATGCCTTGTCGAAACTTAGCAATCGTGTGGAATCAGCATAAGAATGAAGAGATAGAAAGTGCACATATGCCTGCACTCACTTATGCCCCAGTATCAACTGCTCTTTATTTTAAACTCATCCTGATCTCTCGGCAAACAAAATAAAGTATAGGTATTCTAGAAATAAACATTTCGAAATTATTCTAGTAGCGATGATTTTTTTAGTAAAGTGTTGTGGCGCTTTTCCAGTTAGAGCAATTTCCATTAACTGTCCCTCTTACAGATTGACAGCTATCTTGACAGTTTATCCTCAAGCATGGCTTAGACGTAATATTTATAAGTGACTAGCGACTCACGACTTCGGGTTCGTCCCTAGAGAAAAACAAATCTATCCCATGGCAACCGTACATTTTTTCGGGATAAAAAATAACATATGGGCTATTCCAGACTATAACCTATCTCTCCGCCAAATTGCATCCAGATCCGGTCCGGTAAAAGTAACAAACATCCATCCATCCTCGCAAACTTTCAAATATTTTATAATACTAGCGACTCACCCTCGCTCCGCTCAGGATCGTCCCTAGGGGATTCTTTAAATTGACGTAATTTTTTTATTTATGAACCGATTGAAATAAAACAATTTACATACTAAATGTTAAGTAAAGCTTACCACAACATATTAGTGAAAACCGCATCCAAATCGGTTTAGCCTTTTCTGAGATTAGCGCGCACAAACGCATAGACAAACCGACAAACAGACAAAAATTCTAAAAATAATTGTTTGGTATAACACAAGTATTTACGAAACTTTGTATATTTCATTTCTTTTAAAACATAAATTATTTTGAAAGCATCATTCAAAACGGTTAAAATTGGACCGCTTCCAATTTGTAATATATTTAACGGTCAGAATAATAAACTTGTTTCGAGCAACGTTTGGCTTATTTCAGTTAAAAGTAATTTTTAACGTGTAACACGCAAAGTTAACTAAACAACGAGCGTGTTAAAGTTTGTTAAATATTTACTTTAAATAAAAAACTGTTCTGAGGACAGACTAACTCAGTGGCAATCAATTTGCTTTACTGATCAAGGTTACGGCTTCGTATCCCTGTTTATGTTCGTCTATACTCTCGTAGTCGAGTCTCGGTACTACACTAATTTTATAAATTTAAAAGCATATCTGTCCGATCCCTTCTCATGCTTGAACCACTAAACAGATTTCGATATGGGCAAAAAATTGAACAGAGTATTTTCTACTTTTTTCAAGTTTAAAAAGTTTAAGAAGGATATTTATTATTTATTTTCAACCGACTTCAAAAAGGAGGAGGTTCTCAATTAGACTGTATTTTTTTATGTTTGTTACCTCAGAACTCCGTCATTTATTGACCGATTTGGACAATTTTTGTGTTGTTTGAATGTGTATACTTCCAGATTGGTCCCATTTAAATTTCAAAAAAAATACCACCCCTAAGGGTGGAAAAATAGCTAATGATGAATTTAACCTACTTGTAATTGTCATATTGACTTGAAACTTTGCAAGTGTTTCTATTTCCGTTGATAGTACAGTGGTTCGGTATTGTTGACCTGATCTGATGGTAAGGCCAGAAGGTGGATAGGTTAGGTTAGGAGTTTGGGCTTATTTTGTTTGATTTGACAAGCCTAACACGTTAGAATTCTTACTTTGCTACTACTGTCTACACTAAAAACGGAAAAATAAATACGTTTTTAACAAAAAAAACATGAAAACCGACTACAAACAAAAGCACTAAAAAGTAAAAAATAACTGATTGGTAGTTTTCATTTACTATACATACCTAATCAAATATTTTCGAAGTCGGTGTGCTTTGGCTAAGTAATTAAAGCCTACCTTTTTTTTTTTTGAACGTTGAGTACGTACGCCGGTGAGTCCCACACGTCGTGCGTAAATGCATTTCCCAACGTTAAAAAAAAAGGTAGGCTTTAATTACTTCCCCCCCAACGTGCGTTCACGTGCGTGGGGGGGCTCAGTAGTGCCCGGCAATCCAACCGAGCGCGAAGCTAAGAAACGCACAGGGAGGTTGCCCACTTCGGTGGGCGGTGGGAGGTGGCCCTCTTCGGGGGGCGGTGTACCATGCGGGTTGCTCCTGGTACTTCTCTGATAGCAGAGTGGACTGTGGAGCAACCCCATGGTTGTGGTGGTCTGCTTCGGCAGACCTGCCGTCGGGGCGTCGTAGTTGAATGCGTAAGCGATCCTGCGACGCCCCATTAAGACGGGGGAAGGTTTTGTTGGGTTTTAGTGGGTAGTACTGGCTGTATTACGCCGGTGAGTCCCACACGTCGTGCGTAAATGCATTTCCCAACGTTAAAAAAAAAGAAAAAAAGGCTTTAATTACTTAGCCAAAGCACACCGACTTCGAAAATATTTGATTAGGTATGTATAGTAAATGAAAACTACCAATCAGTTATTTTTTACTTTTTAGTGCTTTTGTTTGAAGTCGGTTTTTATAGCGATTAATAATTTTAGTGTGCCAACCTGGGCACCTGTAATCTAAAGTATAATATGCAGTACCTACTTGGGTGACACAGCTTCGCTCGGCGTAGGTGTTTGCTCAATAGGTTAATAATAAATATCATATAATATATAAATATCATCATCTTAATATCATCCATTGTACGACAATGCAAGTACCACAATTCATGAGATGGCGCTATATGACATTGTCAGCAAGAGATCAGATAGAAAAGGCTATAATAATAAGTATTCATAAAAAAAAATCTTTTTTGTGCAAAATTACATTGTTATATCAGAAGAGATACCTAAAGAAAAACTTAAAAGCAAATATTATCTAAATATAAAATTTGTTTCAAATCGTTCAAGCGGTTTCCGAGATACACGAAATAATTTTAAATACATATCTATAGATTATAAACAAAAATTGCTCATTTAATATTATAAAGTACCTACTAGTTAGACATATAAAAATGTATCTGTAAAAGAATCTCATTTAAATAACAATCATATCTAAAAATGAATCGGTCCATACAATTATACACATATATAATCAGATTGTGACCCAAATTTTATACGTTTTTATCTTTTTCAGGTAGCGTCACTTCAGATAAGATTAGAACAAAGATGCTCGTAAAATATTCGAAGACATCGAAATGTGCGAATGAATTTATAATTCAAATTTAAAAACAAAAGTTATGCAGTGAATTCAAAATTATGAATCTGTAAGTGTTTGAGTGATTTAGTGGCGGTAATATTGTGATGTTATTTTTGTGAAGTGAAAAAAATGGGTTGTCAGTTGGGAAAGTTAGCGGCGAGTGAAAGGAGGGTGAATAACCAAGGGTTAGGGGATGGACCCCCACCTGCTACGGACCCGAGGCTTCCGTTAACTGCTAAGCAGAAATATTCCATGCTAGCATCATGGAAAGGGATATCGAGGGCGATGGAGAAAACAGGCATATGTATGTTCATAAAGTAAGTTTTAGTTTTTCATTAAAAATATTAAAATTTTAGATAGTTTTGGTATAGTAGAAGACGATATATGTATATTTTTTATGTATACGCAAATATGTTATATAAAACATTAAGATGAAAACTTCTAATATCTCATTAAACCTCTTTTAAAACAGGTTTTTATATTTTTTTATAGTTATCTATAGTTATATTATGAAGAAGAAAGATTTCGTTCTTGGTTTATAATTAATGAACTTTGAAACTACTGAACCAATTTTAATAATGAATTCATAATTATAGAGCTACGTACAAAACTAGCATTTAAAGCTTTATTTCATTCCAGTGATAATAAGTTTTTAGCTTGAAATATCACATAAGGACGCTAATATCCATAAATATAATAAAATTTGCACATTAAATATTTTTTGGAAAATCTTATTGAAATAGTCATTGTTATCGATACAGAGGCCGAATCTATAGTTTTTAGAATTTTTGTCTGTCTGTCGGTCTATTTGGGAACGTATCACGATAAAATCACAACACAGATTTTGATGAAATTCGATATGATGATAACTGATTATCCGGGTTATCATATAGGATACTTTTTACTGCAGGAAAATATGTCATCTCTGAGAAATCTATACTAACCGTTAAAACATAACTAGGAATAAACCCGAACGAAGCGAAGGTGAGTCGCTAGATATACAATATTTTCAACCATTTTACAATTAAATTATGCTCTCTGTAATTTAATAAAATGCCGACGCGCTATAATTCAAACGAAGAACAGTGAATATAATTTAATAAATACGTCAATTTCTCTTAAACGTTCAAGTTTCACAAATCTCTAAGGTATTTAGGTCTTTTATCTAAATAGTTATATTTATACAAAACAGCTTATCAATAAAGTAATTCATTTCTCTTTTCATTTTATTTTATAGTGTTATGAAGAGAAATATTGTATGGTGGTTGTGTAAACAACATAATCTCGGGAACTACTGAAATAACTAGAAAAAATCTTTTACAACTCAAAATCTTCAACATCCCATCATCATCCAAAAAGCTAGTTTGTCTAACTTCACTTACGAGTGGAATCGGGGGCAAAAACTAATATTTTGTATACAAAAAACATAAAAAATATTCTTAAAAGCTCATAAAAAATGGTAATTAAAATGCTTACTGTAACTATCAATCAAACATTTCATACACAACTTACATAAAAGAAAAACGTTATCAACATGGCTTGAGTTATGGAAACCAGGTAGTTGATACTCTACCCATATATAACTTTAAATACATATATATTATAAATATAAACATCCATGACTGGATTACAAACATTCGTGCTCGTCACACAAATGAATTCCCCCAGCGGGTCTCGAACCCGCGACCGCTGGCACAGCAACTAGGGAACTCTTGAGAATTTATGAGAAATGAGGAAATGTTATAATTTGATTTCCACGATTTTCTTGGTTATAATAAAAGTAAATAAAGTTTTCTGAATAATAAATATTTCTTTGCTGCCAACTACGACGAGCTTGCTCGCTTCGAACTGGTTACCAACTTAGCAAAGCTAAACTAGCCGATAAGTTTTACTCAAGTTTTAAACTTTTACATTTTATTAAGCAAAATATGTGAAATTAGGCCATTTACATCCATTCTGTTTTTGGATTTTCTTGTTAAGTACTAAGACATAATTTCTACAGCCAATATATTATAGAACATTATAAAATATTACGATGACGAATTCTGACTGTTCTAAGTTTAATTTTTGTCGATTTTAAACCTTCTTAATATGTACCTAAATCTTTTGTATTTTTTTTATTTTGGAACATTAACACACAGCACTATCTGGTTCCATGGTAAGCTACAAGGCTTGTGTTGTGGATACCAGATAGTTCATACACTATACATATACATACTCGTACATATACATTATAAAATAAAAACCCATGACTGAATACAAACATTCGTGCTCATCACACAAATGAATGCCCCCAGCGGAATTCGAACCCGCAACCGCTGGCACAGCAAGTACAGCACGTGACACTACAAACTGAGCCAAAACGTGTCATCGGATTATTTTTTATGTTATAAAGGTGAAATAAATAGAAAAGATGTACGAATTACCAAGAACCATTTCTAATAATAATAATGTCCTTCAAGTAGATTTGGTCACAGCGGCAAACCTCATTAAGATTAGCTCTCAATGCGAGGGATGTTATAATAATAATATTAATTTTCTGCTGACAGATTTCGGCCACAGCGGCCAGTCTCACTGAGACTCATGTAGAGCGCAAGAATTTTTATTGTACAAATGATACAAGTATACGTAGTATTCACGAGCATAAATATATGACCAATTAATAGTTTGCTAAATATCCTAAAATAGACTAAATAGTAAGCCATCGCCAAAATATGACAATTTAAAACAAAATATATGGGTTTAGAAATAACTACGTAAGCCATATAAAATTATTCTCTAAATGTTTATTAAACTTCTTTTTGTTTTAACAATATGGTATTCATATAATGAACCTACTTCAAAAGAGCAAATAAATCGATAGTTTTTTTTTCTGTAGAAAAATAAGTTTATTGGATTACTTATACTATTCTTATCGTAAATTGCTCTATATTTAAAAAATAATTCTTTATTAGAGTAAAAAAGAAGTAGGCAGTGGTGGCCCAGTGGGAACGCGCTCGCTTGGGAAACCAAGTGAAGTGGGTTGAAATCCCGGGTCTCGCACCTCTGACATTTTCACGTGCGAATCATTTCTAACATGATTACCACATGCTCTACGGTGAAAGAAAACACCGCGAGGAAACCTGCATGTCTGAGAAAACCTAGCAAGTTTCGAAAGACATGTGAAGTCCGCCAACCCGCACTTGACCAGCGTGGTGGACTATATTCTGATTCCGCTCGTACTGAAGGGAGGCCCGTGCCCAGCAGTGGGACGTTTAAAAGGATTGAAAACTTGAGTAAAAAATATCGCTAATATTAATACGCAAGACACGTTCAATATTTTTGCATAATAATAGTAAAAGGTGAGAGAATATATTTTTGAAGCCGATGTGGCATCTTATATTTTTGCATCGCATGTGTAGTCAGATATTGTTGTTATTTCTTGGATGGCAAATATTTTTGCTGTCATCGTGAAAATAGATGAATAAATAATGAAATCTTATATTATTGCCGAGCTGTCCATAATCATATATTTATGCTCGTGACTGTACACCCTTTCTTCCAATCCTGAAATCCCGTGAGACGATCTGGACCCGGATGTTTTTCATATACAGGTACAAGACACTGGAACATTAATCAATGTAGGACATAAATATGAGACTTTTGGCGTAGTGTGTATGACACGTTTGGTTCAGTTTGTAGTGATCCTACTTGCTGTGCCAGTGGTCACGGGTTCGAATTCAGCTGGACGCATTCATTAGTGTGATGAGTATTTAAAGTTATATACATAATACTTAGTGTATTAACTATCTGGTATCCATAACACAAGACTCGTAGCTTACCACGGAACTCGATGGTGCTGTGTGTTGATGTCTTAACATATTTATTATTTATATTATTATTACCATGTGTAATGACACTTTTTTTCGGATTGTTTCGCGAATTTATTTTGTGTTTTGGTCGCCGACGTTTCCAATGTTTTATAGCTGTCAAGGTCGCGAAGAGATTAAGGTTTTTGACGTTTCCAAAAAATTTTGCGTAAATCATATCATCATTGCATAAGAAAGTATTATGATAATTGCCAGGTAAATGCACTTATATAGAATGTATATATAAAAATACAACATCATAGCATATAGCGGGAAGAATACATAAATATTATATTGTATTCAGCCCTTTTCAACGTCCCACTGCTGTGCACGGGCCTCCCTTCAGTACGAGAGGGATCAGGCCATAGTCCACCACGCTGGCCAAGTGCGGGTTGGCGGACTTCACATGTCTTTTGAAAACTTGCTAGGTTCTCTCAGACATGCAGATTTCCTCACGATGTTTTCCTTCACCTTTAAGACAAGTGGTAATCAAGTTGGAAATGATTCGCACATGAAAATATCAGAGGTGCGAGACGCGGGATTTGAACTCGCTTCACTCGGTTTCTCAAGCGAGCGCGTTACCACTGGGCTACCACCTATAAATATTATATACTTATTTATAATTAATTATATTCTTTGTTTAAAACAAACCATCAATGTTCAACGAGCAAACATGCTTTTACCTAAACGTTGTTAAAAATAATAAAACACATGTGAGATCGACGTGAGCTTTACGTGGAATGTCAAAATAATAAATATTGAGAATGATTGAAGGAAAATGTTTACCTACAAACATCATAAATAATCAGCTATGCAATTAATGAAGAGTTTATTTGAATATTTTACTTCGACATTTGTAACTTTACCTTTTCTGATTAGTTTTGTTAGAAACCTAAAAAGCTCTAGGCATTGATTGTTGATAATATTTATATTGAACACTAAATTCTTTACGACGACATGTTTGGCTCAGTTTGCAGTGATTCTACTTGCTGTGCCAGCGGTCGCGGATTTGAGTCCCGCTGGGGGCATTCATTTGTGTGATGAACACGAATGTTTGTACTCCAGTCATGGGTGTTTATATTTATAATATGTATGTATTTAAAGTTATATACCTATGTGTAGTGTATCAACTATCTGGTATCCATAACACAGGACTCGTAGCTTACCATGGAACTAGATGTGTTGTGTGTTAATGCCTCAACATATTTATTTATTTGTTTTATATATTTATTCGTAAGATTTTGTAAATATAAAACATTTTAATGGTAAATGATGACGATGTAGCCATAATATATTAATATTTATATACATACTACACTATATACCATGCATACTAATATTATAAACGTGAAAGTGTGTTTGTTTGTCCTTCTTTCACGTCGAAACAATGACGAATTAGCGTGATTATTTGTATGGAGCTAGTTGGAAGACTAGAGAGTGATATAGGCTACTTTTATCGCAGATGATTA